GTGTCTGGGAGTCAAGGCTGGGACTCAGACTTGGAGAAGGAAGACAGGGCGGGAAAGGATCCCTCGAGTAGGCCAGGCCTTATTCTAGGTGTGTTTACGTTCATGCCTTACTTAATTCTCACAGCAGCTTAGTGAGGTGAGGATAATCACTCCGATTTCACAGATGGGGAAGCAGATTTGGAGAGGGAAAGTGGCGGGTTTGTGGTGGCTCCTGTAATGAATGGAGGAATGGGTAGATGCTGAGACCTCCTGGGAGGGGGTAGCACACAAATGCAGCAGCTGAGAAGAGGAGCCAGGTAAGGCAGACCTGGGGGTGGCAGCCAGAGGAAGGGTCTGTGGCATCCAGGAGAGCTTACCTGGAGCCCACCCAGCATCCCAAGGAAGTGCGTCCAGACTGAGTGTTCTCAGGGGTTAGAGCCAGCTTAGGAGAGAGAGATCATACTGCAGCCTGGTTAGTCAGATCTAGGGGAGAGCTTTCTACCCACAGGAGTCTCCAGCTAAAAATGGGATTGCTCATGAAGGCCTTCTCTTAGACAACAAGACAACTGACTGATCCACCCCTATACAGAACCAAATGGCTAGGTCAGGAGGTCACGCTTGACGCATGCGTGTGAGTTCTCAGCTGCAGTTGGCTTATTTATATTTGGTCTTAACAGACAGCGTTAATGCATATTAATATCAAAACACAACTCCAGCCAGAACTCCTGGCTCTGAGTGTGTACTGTGTGCACGGCGACTCTGCTAATAGAAAGGTTAACTTGTATTTCTGAATTATTGATGGTTGCTTGTTACTAATTTTTTTTCCCTCAGAAAGGAGGAAATTATTAATGAAGAGATCATTGCCAATGTGTCTGACATCTATTAATGGTTTCATCTTGCAACCAGATTAAAAGAGACAGCTGGTCCATGAATTTATGCGTGGAGGCAGCTCCAAAGCGCTGACAGCTCCTCGGGAGGGTGGGACCCACAGGCGGTGGGGCCTGGGCATCCACATGGGTATCTCTTGGTTGGCACAGGTCTGTGTTAGGGCTGTCAGAGGTTCACTCCAGGAAGAGCAAACAGCGTATGGCCTCTCTGCCGACATTGTGTTCTCAAGCCTTCTATTACCCATGGGAGTCCATGAGCAGCTTAGCTTACTGGCACTTCCTTCGGGAGTGTGTTAAAACAGAGATTCCCAATCTGAGCATGTATCAGAATCCCCTGGCAGGTGGTCCAATGCAAGGATTCTCAGGCTCCACTCCCAGTATTTCCATGGGGTTAGGATAGGGCTTGAACACTTGTAATAAAAGTGTTCCCAGGATAGAGGGGAGAGGGAGGAAAGGAGGGAGGGAGAGAGAAAAGGAGGGAGGGAGAGAGAGAGGGGAAGAGAGAGATGTTCCCCATTTGCAAGTGAGTGTTAGATCAATGGTGTCAGACTCTCCTGTGAGACTTCTATCTAAAGAGAGGCATACTTTTTTTCTCATACAGTAATGGCATGGCTGCCTATGCCAAGTAGGAGCAGGCAAATGCAATATGTCAACAAATAAATGAGTCTGTATACCAATAAAACTTTATTAATAAAAACAAGCAGTAGGCCAGATATGAGTCATGGCCTGTGGTTTGCTCACCTCTGCTCTATAGCAGTGCTAACAGACATTTATGTAAAAAAAATATCTATAGGTAGTGTGTAAGGAACTACGTATGGCTATCACACACACACACACACACACAACTTTACAACATGGACAATGGCTCAAATTTTGGAGAGATGTGGCAACCTCTGCCACAGAGCTATAGAGTTTTCTATAGCTGTAGCATTTGGAGCTACTAACATTTGTAGCCTCCGAGCACCTGAAATTAGAAAGGTTCAGATTGAAATTATGATTTCTAACGTAAGTCACCCGTGGCTACTTGTGTCCAAGAAAGAGGAGTGCAGCTATCCATGGTGTGTGAGGGGACAGCTAGCATCTTTTTACACAAAACTTTTTTCTCCTTGTCTCAGTTTTCTCGTCTGTAAAATGGGGATAAGACAGGAGCCACATCCACTGGCCTTTCCTGGTCACTGGTGGGCGGGACGGCACTAGAGCCGGCTGAGTCTGGAGATGAACCCGTTTCCGTGTGTTACTGTCTTTTTTGGGTTCTCTTTATCCAGGAGGGCAGAAGTCACACCTGTATTCAGACTGCTGCTCAGCCCCATGGGACCCAGCACATAGGGCAGGTGCCCCTCAGGTGCACCAGGTTTTCCACTTCTTGGAAACTGAGCTGAAGAAGGGACCTGAAGGGACAACATCTGGGCACTGCTGACCCCTGCTAAGGTTGGAAGGCAAGTCACTGTGCAGATAGGGACACCAAGGCTTCTATAGGCCTTGCCAAGCATCCTGTGGGGCTATGGAGTAATGGCTCAGAGGCCAAGAGGCCAAGGTTGAGCACTGGGAGGTGATGCTCGGTGGACTGTCTGTCCCCTCCCTCTGCCATTACAAGACACCCTCAAGGCCCCACCCTTCCTTCAGCACTGGTACAGAGTCTGCCTTGAGCTAGGGGCCAAGATGAAGGCACACTGTGGCTGGGCAGGTTTATGGAGTCAATTGGCTGCCCATGCAGGAGGCGAGGAGTCGACCCTGGAGCTCTCTGAACCCTGGCCCTCTGAGAAATTGGTTCTAGGAAAATACTTAAAGCACCATTGCCTGGGGGCCAGCTTCCTTCAAGCTCCTGTGCCCACAGCTCTGTGTGAGGCATCCAGATGCATTTTAGGAACTGTCTTCCTGGGCAGATGAGTGGAGAGATGGCCTCTCCCAGGTGGTGCACACAGGGGGCCTTGACAACAGATTTGCTGACCAAATTTCTCAAGAAGAAACTTACATCTGCGGGTGAATTTACCAGGGAAGCGAGGCAGGATGGATCTTCCAGGCAGAGGGCATGGTTGGCCCAGTGTTGCAGTGAGGCCAGACACCAAAGCTCACCAGTCAGTAGGTGGAGCACAGGGCCTGAGAACCACAGCAAGAGGACTCTGGTTTGTGACCCTGCACCTGGGCAAGCAAGATTTGGTGCTCGACCCAGGTCATGTTCCATTAGTCTGTCACCAAGAAATAGTATTATTTTCCCTGGGGGCCATGTGACCCCCATTCAGACTTTGGAACCTTGGCTATAGTGATATAACTTCCTGCAGGATAGACACTGGCAGGAGAGGGAGGGTGTGTGCCTGGAAGAGGTCCTGAGAACTGCTATTTTCTACTTAGAATGTCCACGAGAGAAATGAGTTGGCAGGATCCCAAGGGAGCTGGGACAAGTTACAGGCATGACACCAAACTCTCTAGCGGCTTAGAGACCGCCTCCATCTCTTCTGGGTCGGTCTCTGTCATCAGCCAGGACTGAATCACGGATGTGGGATGGAGTCCGGTTTCTTTCCAGAGGCTGCATTGTAATTCATCCACCTAAGGCTAGGCCTCAGCAGAGGTTGGATGGATCAAACAGTTGGTGGTTTAGCTCTGGGCAGAAGGGATCGTCCATTCTCATTGTTCCCAGGGGCCAAGCATCCTGCGGCACCAGAGACTAGCAAAGGCTGTGGTTCCCAGTCAAGTGCACCATCAATATTAGCAAAAATTTTAGGGACCTCCAAGGTGGCCTGCAAAAGGTCTAATTCCTAGGCTCCCCCGCACAGACAGACCACATACCCCTTTCCCTGGAATGAGGGGCTGAGAAGTGGGATTTGGAGTGAGGGGAGTGGGTTCTCGCCCCTGGGAGAGTTCTTTGACCAGGCAAGTGAGGAGGGAGCTGGTCATTATCTTAGGGAGGTGATGGCTGGGGGAGGTGGGGGTAGGTAGTTCTGAGCCAGTTGGAAGCCTTTGCCTGGAATTACAAGTGTGGGCCAGGAGACATAAATGAGCTCATGTTCAATAAAATTGTCTTCCTAAGCAGACCTGGGTACCAGTGAGGCTCTGTGTACGTTCACTACCAAAGTCACTCCATTCCAGAGCCCCTGGAAGTTGAATGTAGCCAGGGAGGGATCACCCCAAAAGTGGGGTACCGGGAACTCTGGGCTGGAGTCCATCTCGCAGCTCCCTCTTGTGATTTGGGATGCAAGGGGGTGGAGGGGAAGGGAGGCTTTGGAGAGGTAAAAGTCCCTACAAAGTGGGAGTCCTTTCAGCACCTCTGGGTGTCCTCCTGGCATTTAGATACAAGGCTCACATCCTCACCCTGGTGGCAGGCTCTTCCATGGGATCCCTGAGCCCGGGCCTGAGGGCTGTAACAGGCACTGCCCTATGATCTATGGCTTTAGGTTTTCAGCCCCAACCAGGTCTTTGTTCAGACAAGGACAAAAAAGGGAAAAGCTCTATGGTTTCTTAAGAAAGGAAGAATAGGGGAGGCAGCTAGAGAAGGGAGTGAGGTCCCCACACCTGTGTGGGGGTGGCACGGGGTTAGGGACAAGAGAAAGAAATGCTGTGGTTACCGGTACCGTGGGGTGTGTTGGATTGCTAGATGAGGGAAGAGGAAAGAGAGGGAGGGAAAGGGAGAAAGGGGAAGAGAAGGAGAAAGAATATGAATATAAGGGAGAATCTCGGTGTGCCAGAGACCCTTCAACAGCGGTACCCAGCTTTGCCAAGAAGCACCCCCTCCCGAAATTCACAGCCCTGCTGCATCCAGAGTTGATCAGCGGTTCCCTTCCCCTCCATCTCTCACTGTACCCCCCCTACCTGTTCCCCCACCCCTACTTCAAAGGCTGTTCCAGGTTTCTCTCCTCCCCCATCGCCTCGTACCTGCGCCCCCGCAGGGTAGCCTGTAGACGATGCTCGGCTGGGCGGCGTGGCGTGGGGCAAAGCGGCGAGTACCCCGCGGATCCTGTGGGTGCAAGAGCGATGTGTGTATGCGCGTGACTGCGCGAACAGCCCTGAGCCGGCCAGCCCGGGAGAGGGTGCGTGGGGGAGTCCGCGAGTGGCAGCCGCGGGCGTGTGCCAGGCGCGGGCGTGCGCGCGAGGGTGTGTGTGCGCGGCCGAGGCGGAGCGCCCGGGCGGGCGGCGGCAACGGCGGCGGCGTTAGGACTCGGGGGACACCGCCCCCCGGCCCCCGCGTCCCGCCCCCGCCCAGCCTCGCGCCTCAGTTCGCGCCGCGCCTGGGCTCGGAGCGCAGCAGCGCTGGCTCCTGCTGACAGAGCTGAGCCAGCCCGGGGAGCCCAGCGGCGCGCACTGCCTGCAGCCGCGCCGGCGATGCGGGGCCACCCCGTGCCCGCTCGAGTCCCGGCCCCGGCGCCCGCGGGAAGGGGCTGAGCCGCTCGCCGTCCGGATGGGGAGCCTCGGCGCGCTTGCCCTCTGCCTGCTCTGGCTCCTGCTCCTGGGGCTGCAGCGGTCGCCGCTGCCCGGCGCCCGAGCGCAGAGCGCCGCAGGTGAGTGCGACCGCCCGACTCCCCTCGGGCCCCGCGCCCTTCCCTGCAGCTTCTGAGGAGAAAGTTGGGTACGAGGGGCAGGAGAGGCTGGGACCGAGTGGCCCGAGTCTGGTCCCAGCCTCTGGACGCAGTTGCTTCGTCCAGGCGTGCCAGGTCCTGCGCCAGTTCCCCCCTGGTCCCCTTGTCGCCTTACTTTCCTGCTTCTCTTCCCCACCCCCGGGCGGGAGTAACTTTCCGCGGTTGTTGCGAATATTTCCACTCGCTGCCTCCCACTTGTCGGAACCTGTCACTCGAGTGTTTTGGGGCGGCGGGATGAGGCGCCGCTTCTCTCCCGGCGGGGAGCACTGTCACCCCGGCAGCTTCTCGGGCTGCTCGCGCTCTTGGAGTGGGGAACACTGTTCCCTAGCAGGCCCAGGCTGCCAGGGCGGTGGCTTTTTCTTTCTCCTCGGAGACACTGAAGAGCATCCAGTCTTGTTCTAAACACTCTGCTCCCCTTAACCTGTCCTTAGCCGCTGGAGGTTCCCATGGGAGTCTTTCTGTGAGTGACCCGCACAGCAAAGCCCCATTCACCTCATGGCGCTATCCAGAGCAATGGGTTACCTTACTAAGGTCCTTTAAGTCGAGTGGCTTTGATCAGTGAGCTAATGGGCTTCTGAAAACTTCGGGACACTGTGTTTTGGTTTGCCCACAGGCAGTCCTAGTTCCCTAGAGTGTTTCCGGTGTCTTCCTAGTGGTGAGTTAAGCTGAGAAGACCAGTACCGAGGGTCTATCTAATCACTAAAACCCCACTGGTAGGGCTTCCACACCGGAGTCCCCCAAAAAGGGAAGGAGAGGTGGGGAGGCGATGTAGGCATACCCCCGAGTTCAAAATCACCTCGAAGTTTCTTAGCACCTTTGGTTTCCGAAAGGACCACATTAAGCAGGTTGAGGCAAGTCCTCCGGACTTAGGAAAGGGCTCCTTTTGGACTGCTAAGCAACAGCTGTGCTCACATAAGAAATCAGGGGAGGAAGAAAGAGAAAGGAAAGGCAGAGAATCTGCTGGAAGTGAAGGTCTTTAAACTGGCTACGTTTGAAATAAGACCTTCCGGAGCGATGCTCCGTTGGAAATGTCTTAGGCTTTCTTCCCCGGCTTGATGCTAAAATGGAAACTGGACACAGGATGTTTGGGAAAGGACGGGTTGTTTCCGTGCCAGGGAAGTTGGTTGAGGAAGACTCTCTTTTTAAGGCGTGTGATGCTGAGAGGCTAGGACAACAAAAGAGAGAAGAGAGGCAGCCGCAGCACCATTCTGAAGATGCTGCGCAGCTCCTTTCCTTAGCTTTGGGGTCTGCCTTAGGTGTGTTGTGTTAGGGAGGTGGCAGAAGGATGCTTGGGGCAGTCCTGAGGACCCGGCTATGATGTTATGATTCTGATTAAAGTATTCTCCAAGGTTTGGCTGGCCAGCCGCACGAGTACTCACGTTCCCGCAGCAGGAACCGAATCGAAAACATTCCACCACGAGTCTCAGACCTTTTTTGGGTTAGCAGCTGTAAACCCAGAACCGGCTCCAGAAAGCAGTCCAGGGCTGAATGCGTGCCCGGTCCTCATGCTCCCGCAAGGTGGCGCTCGCCCACAGCTGTTAAATGCAAATCGAGCTGCTTTCATCTCAGGGACAGAACTTCGGTTCAATTTTTAAATGAGTAATGTGTTTATTCAGCAGCCTTTTGTTAAAACATTTAGGGAAGTGTGAGGAGGAAGCACCTTTTCTTTGTTTGCTGTTAGGAACACACGGGGAAGAAAAGCAATCGTGGAGTACAGTTTGGGAAGAAATTGACTGTGAAGGCGCCATATGTTTCCCTTGGTTCTACCTGGGCCCATAGCTTTTGCAAAGCTACAATAGCATATATTTAGCAAGCGGCTGCGCTGTTCCCGGGCTCCTTAAAGGAGTGGGATTAGCTTGTCTTGGTGACTTGGTGCGTTCTAAGCCCCGCTCATTTATGGAAATGGGGATCTTTTTTCTATACAAGTCTCACCCCCTTTCTACGGTAATGCTAACTAGATCGTTTTAAACTAGATTCTTCCCGGATTTTCCTTATGAACATCTGTAATTCTCCATGCGTTGTTTTGCAACTGTGGACCCGTTAGAACAGACTTATCTTCTTATTTTATTCCTTGTTGTAGTATTGTTGGAATCCAAATTCGCTATGATTATAACTTTGGTCTCTTTTGAAGCATCTTATTTTAAACTTTCGGCAAGTCTGAGTAAATAATGCATTTTAAAACCCAGTAGTATGTTCTCCATATTCCTTTGATCTGAAGATCCCCGGTCTCGAAAGCAATTTCCATTTGTAAGCTTACATCTAGGACACAGAGGGATGATGGGTTTTGCTGTGACTGTTGGTCACAGTGTCCAAAAGCCAGAGTCGGAAGCTGTCATCAAAGGCAATTTACTCCTTCCTCACGCTGGTATGTTTCATGAGCCACCACTATTTTATTTATTTATTTATTTTGGTGAGGGATGATAGTAAAAGAAAAAGTATTATAATAATAATCAGTAAACAGCAAACCCAATTTGGCATGAGGGAAGTAGATGATTAAGTAAACAGATAAGGGGATAATTAGTCTATTTATTATCTGTATTGCGAGTTAAACCCAAATCTTAAAGGGGACTGACTCACGGTGGCAGTTGTAAGCAATGTAGTCATTTAACTCGATAATTGCTGCCAGACACCTCTGGGGAGGGAACCGTTTTTCAGTACAGTTGAATTTTACTTTCTGTTCTGGATTGCTTGATTTGTTTCCTAATAAAAGAACAATTAATGTGAAAACCTGGCTTTGATTCTGTTCCGCCAACAATAGCAAACATGAAATAAATGCAGACCACCGTACAGCCTGTACCCTTCTCTTCCATGTCAGTCCCTTCTTGTTTGTTCTAAGCAGTTTCCACAGGCTTCACACTGCCAGCGGAGACGGTGTCGCCCGTAGTAGAGTAACTGTCACCTTTCAGAGCCACGATCAGAGGACATTACAGCATCGTTCTTTCAAGCACGGGATACTCCCATGACTCTCTGACTGCGTGTTGCTGTGGAAACAAGAGCATTGCTATGTCGGCAGTGGTCCTTGATAAATATTTATCGATGATGATGAAGAGATGGCGGGGTCCCGAAGCAGCCAGGATGGGGAAGGAGGGTTGTGTTTGGGAGGCGATGGGACCTGGGGGAAAGAGTGAGGGTTGGCGCCTGACATCCTTGGTTGGAATCCCACTTCTGCCTTTTGAGCTGGCAGTGCCAGATTGGACAGGTTGTTTATCTTCTCCAGCTTCTTGTCTGCAAAGTACGGGTAATTAGAGCTGCCTCGCTGGATCTTGTGAGGACCAAGTGTGGAGAGGCATGAAGAGCGAGGGAAGAGTGGGTTCTCCGTCCAGAATGGGAGCTGAGTCCATTACTCTCCCTTGGCATTGGTGTGGGTTTCTGTGTGTGCCCAAGTTGGGCTGGGATGCTTCTGCCAAGCTAAATGAAGCTCGTCATGGAGGTGGCTGGATTTTCGTGATGCTTTTTAGTTTTCCTTCCTTTATTCATGTTTTTTTAAAGGGGATGGGCTCCCTATTCCCTGCTACTGTTTTCAGAAAGAGATTTCAAATAGGAATTTCCAGCAGAGGACACTAGCCACTTTGGTTGTCCCAAGGTTTGTGAAAGAAACGTTTAGTTTTAAGCACATTGTGGCCTTTAATTGGCATCAGTTTAAAAATCCAGCTGGTTGTTAGGCTAACGTATGTGGCTGTGTCACTGTTCCCATTACCACCTTGGCACACACGTTCCTCCTTTGTGGTCAGGCTCTGCCCTGCCTCTGTTCTTATCTTCTGTCAGCCCTGGAAATCAAGTGCCTGGTGCTTGGTGGGCCAGTGGGGGAAAAGACAGTTTGTGAAGCTGATAAGTACGCAAAGGCTAAGAAAACATATAGTAGGCTGTGGCATTGCAAGGAGCAAATAATAATAATAAAAAAACCCTATAGAAACAAGCCCTGTCCAACAGGTGTTATGAGATTTGCAAACTTATAACAGAGTCAGGTTTAGAAGCCAGCGCTGGGTGAATATGAGACAGCAGTTAGGGCATCTTATGCCATCTGTAAGAGGGGGTGGGGGAGGGCTTTGAAAGGATTAATAACAATAAGATGTAGTTGAAAGGGACAGCGGTAAACTCTGATCCGTTGCGTTGAGTTCAGGTGAGTCAGGGTGACTAGGTAGGGGTCATAGAACTTGCATGAGCTTGCTGAGTGCTTTTATTTACTAGGGGAGAGAGAGAAAGAGAGAGAGAGAGGGGGGGGTAGAATTTATTTATTGCCTATGGACAGAAGGTCAAGTGGGATTCTGGACACAGATCTCCCCACAGTGGACCTATCTCAAATCTATTGGAATAAACAGAGCATAGAGATGGAAGGGAGCAATGTGTGTGATACATAATGACCTCTATGGCCTGTTTTGCCCCCAGTTTTCAGTGTGGTGTCACTTGGCTTTCCCTATGAGCATACACAAGGAGGGCGCTCAGGAGTCCCATTGGATCCGTCTCCGGTGAGCTCACGGGCCTGCAGGGTTGTGGCCTGGATGTTTCCCACACCAAGAGTGCTGAATGCAGTGTGTCTCACTTGCACATCCAGCCAGTGCACGTGAGTGGAGTGTGCGCACAGGCCTTTGTACTTTTTGACTATTCGCCTTAAATTGTTTTATTGGATGCTGGAGGGAATGAAAAGCAGTAAAAGCATTTTGGTGATGAGTTTGGCATTTTCTTTAAAACATTAAATCTGCACCTGCCATAGGATGAAGCTCTCACACTTTTAGGATGAAAAATATGTCCAGAGAAAGATGGGACCGTGCGTGCTCACCGGAAGTATTATTCATTGTCACCCCACATGGAAAGTAACCCATGTGACTGGTGAATCCGTGGAATCGGGGATTGCTACTAATAAAAGGGAACCAGTTTCAGATAGATGCTAGGACATATATCAGAAATTGTACGCCAAGTTAAAG